TTATATTTATTCTTATATATTTATGTATAATGTAAATATTAAAATTATTATATGTAAAACACATTCTTAATCCACTCAATCTCTTAACACACATCTAGGTTGATTCCATAACTTGGCTACTGTCTATAGTACCACAATAAACATGCAAGTTCCTGACTTACATTCCTTTTGGTATATTCCCAGAAGTAGTATTGTTGGATCATATGGTAGCTTTTGTTTGTGAGGAATGTTCATACTGATTTCCACAGTAGCTGAACAAACTTAATTGTCACCAGCCAGCAATGCCTCCTTCCCCATTGTATCCTTGCCAGTTTTTGTTGGTTTCTTAATAATTGCCATTCTGACTAGAGTGAGATGAAATCTCAATGACTTTTGATCTGTTTTCCATGATGGCTAAGGGTGTGTTAAACAACTGTTTGTGTTTATTGGCTATTTGTACTTCATCTATCTGTTTATTTCATTTGCCCATTTACTGATTGGCATTTTAGTATTTTTGGAGTTCATGGTAATTTTTGAGGGGACAGGAGGGTATTCTTTTTCTTTTGAAACACTGAATCCTTAGCTGACCTGTAACTCACTATGTAGACCAGACTGGCCTGAAATCTGTGGCAATTCTGTCTCTGCCTCCCCAGTGCAGAGATTAAAGGCATGCATAACCATGCACACCTGGCTTTTTAGCTCTCTTAATGTTCTAATAGCAATCCTCTGATGGGGCTGGAGAGATGGCTCAGTGGTTAAGAGAACTGGTTCCTCTTGCAGAGGACCTGGGTTCAATTCCTACCACTCACTTGGTAGCTAACAATTGTCAGTAAAACTCCAGTTCCAGGGTATCCAATGCCTTCTTCTGACCTCTGTGGGCATTGCATGACACAGGTTCATTTACATACATTTGGGCAATACACTCATACACATAAAAATAAATAAAATATTTTTTAAAAAATCAATACTGTTAGCTGTATTAGCAAACATTTTCTCTCATCTTGTAGGGTGTCTCTTCACTCAATTAACTGTTTCCTTTCCTGTGCCAGAAGTTTCTTGTTAATCTTGTTATTATTTTCTGAACTATTAAGGTTCTTTTCAGAAGGTCCTTGATTCAGTCTAGTGTTCCCTATGCAAGCATAACATAAAGACCTGAGGTTGATCCCCAGAACCCAGGTAAAAAACCCAGGACACAGACTATCTTGGGAAGACAGACAAGTTAGTAAAGTGTTTGCCAAACAAGCACCAAGACTTGAGTTCAGTCCCCAGCACTCATTAAGGGCTTAATTAAGGGCAAATGAAGAGACTCAGAGCACCAAGACTGCCGTCCTGAGTTCAATCTCCAGGTGTTAAGAGAGGACCTACTTCTCTACATGGTAGGGGGACAGAACCTACTCTTTCAGGATGTCCTCGGACCTCCACATCGGTACTGTGGCATGTGTGCGCACATGTAGACACAGAGCTACTCAATGATTCTGCACAGTAATCATTCTGAAAGGCAACACTATATCCAAAGATAAAACTTTAAGAATAGGAGGTAGGAATTGGCTAGGCAGTTAGGGTAAAAAGACCCCAAAGAAATGTAGCCAGTTTCTTGGCTAAAAGTCAAAATGTCCTTGGGCCTGTTAGCAACATACTCTTTTCCAAAGGCCAAAAATGTCAAAAGTATTTGGGAGCTTGTATCTAACCCTTAAAAGATTTTAGGGTTACCTCTTCAGAGAGGGTAATGTTAGAGGGGAGGGAGTGGGCAAGAATTTGCTCAAAATACCATACATGCACGTATGAAATTCTCAATAAAGTTTTTGTAAAAATTAAAAAAAAAATTTACAAAGTTAGCTTTGTGCAATCAAAGAAAGTATTTAGGACTCTGTTCCTTTCTTTTTTTTTTTTTGCCTCTGCCCATGAAAAATCATTAGGACAGACCCTGGGAATGAACTGTTTTGGCAATCTTTCAACACAACCAAGACATCTATTTTTACTACATTTGCTACAGTATAACGTAGGGTTCAGAAACAAGATTCCCTGTGTTCAGTCCTGCCACTGTTATTGTATGTCCTTGGGCATGTTAACTTTCCTATGCCTCAGCTTCCTCATCTATCAATAGATCAAAAAGAGCATTTCCTTACAGGGTATAAGTATAGACTGAATAAGATAATACATTGACAGTTCTTATAATCTGGCATACAGCTAATAATATATACAGTCAATAATTCCAGAAAACAGAGGAGTTAGCATCTTCCTCCAGCTTTAGCTATATGACTGAATCAATGAGCTTTATGAAACTGTAAAATGGAATCTATCATAGAATTAAGAAATACAGGGGCTGGAGAGATGGCTCAGTGGTTAAGAGCACTGGCTGCTCTTCTAGAAGACTGGGATTTGACTCTCACAGCCACATGGCAGCTAACAACCATCTACAACTCTAGTTCCAGGAGATCTGATGCCCTCTTCTGACCACTGTAGGTGCACTTACATAAACACAGGCAATACACTCATACACATAAATAAATCAGAAAAGAGAAAATACATATCAATATATAAATGAAAAAAGTACATAGCAATATATAAATAATGCAGAAAGTACTGTAACAAATATTAGTTACTCAATTTACTTACGTTTCATGTCCATATTTCGAGTTTTATAAACAAAGTATGTATAAATCTGTGTTGTGCGTATTAGAATCTGGTCTCCACTATATCGTATTGACCGATACCACCAAGAGCCCTAAACAAAAATAAAATTAAAGAAGTAAAGCATGAAAAAGTAATAAATGTTAAGCTTGATACAGAATGTTTATGGTAAATTTTTCTAAATATTCATAAAGCTCAACAAAGTGCTTGAGCTTCAGAAGAAATGCCATTTTGTCAAATATTTCAAATGATTTAGTTAGCAAATACTTATACTGCCTGAAGCATAAACACCAACATCAATTATTATATAGGAAAACCCCAAGGCTGTCACATCCCTAGACAAATATAATTTCTAACTATGTACTAAATATGGATCCTTCTATTTACAGGCAAGTACGCCAGTCACCACTCATCAAAGCAGCTTCTTTTGCAACAGACAGAGACTATTACAGAGTTCCACAACTGGTACACAAAGAGACTAAGTGTCTGTAAAATGCCCAACCTTAAGTGACATGACTCAGTGGAACCTCTACACCTAAGACGCATGGAGCACAGTGAACAAAGTAGAGAGAATATTAATGCATCTTTCAATTTTCATCCACAAAGCTCCCTCATGCAACAGAACGCAATAAATCCAGGGCTCAGGGACCATTGCAGAAGAGGGGGCAGAAAGATTGTAAGAGCCAGGTGAAGAGGTACATGACCATATGAAAATAATCTTATAGGCTCCTGAGTCCTTGCTCATATGAATTTACAACAACGGTGTCAACGTGCACAAGACCCATGCAAACTCAAGCAGACAAAAACCCAGCATAGAAATGTGGAAATGGGTAATAGGCCCCAATCTCAGCCAAAGACCTAATGAGCAGCTGATTACTACTGGATGAGGAAAAGCTGATTCTTTAAAGGAGTGACTCTAGATAGGCTGACTAGCCCCCAGTGGATGAACTTGCACTGAGGGACATGAGGGGACACTAACTTGAATCGATAGGACTTAACATAAATAACAGAACGCACAAAATCCAGTGTGGGAGCGGGGATATGGGAGGATGCTGATGGGGAAGGGGGCATAGAGATGATTAAGATGTTGTATATGAAATATACGTAAAAATTCAGTAAAAATATTAAATAGGAATTGAGAATGAAAAAATATTATATAGGTATAATTTAGTTTCAGGTAGAAATTGTTTAAAAGACAAAATAGGAATAAAACCACGTATTGCTGTAAATGCAATGTGAAGTGGTTTCTATCACAGAATTTTCTAACAAGTTCCTGATAAATGTAGAACTAATTTTATAGTTAACATGACACTGTCATTCATGAGATTCTACAAAGATTTACTGGCCTCATATACCCACATGAACTCCAGGATCAAAAATAACACAAGGCACAAAAGTAATAAATAATGAAAATCATGGACATTTTGGTAGTTCTATATTAAAGTTCTGTGTAGCTATTTTAAAAATGAGTCTGATAGGGGGTGGAGAGATGGCTCCGGTTGTGAGGGTTATGAGCAGGCACTGCTCCTGCAGGAACCCAAGTTTGGTTCCCAGCATCTATGACCAATAGTTTATAACCACCTGTAACTCCAGCTCCAAGGGACCCCACACCCTTTTCTGAACTCCAAAGGCAACTCACTCCCTTACATGTGTACACTGAAAAGTAATAATCTTTTAAAAACTGAGGCTGCTATATATGTTGTGTTCGAATGTATTAAGCAAAATAGGTCAAAGAACAATATAGTATCATCACACAAAAGTTTTAAAAAGCACTTGTGGTTACAAAAATACCTAGGGGAGCCGGACATGGTGGCACACACCTTTAATCCCAGCACTTGGGAGGCAGAAGCAGGCAGATTTTTGTGAGTTCAAGGCCACCCTGGTCTACATAGTGAGTTCCAGGACAGCTGGGGCTACAGAGAGACCCTGTCTCCAAAAGATAAAAACAAAACAAAACAAAAACAAATCTAGGGAAAAAACTGAAAAAAAGAGCAAAGCAGTGACAATCACTGAGAGAAATGGAATTGAGATATTGAAGAAAGATTTTCATTTTAAACTCTAAATATAGCTGGTGGTGATGCATGCCTATAGTCTTAGCACTTGAGAGGCATAGACAGGCAGATCTCCAAGTCCAGCCTGGTCTACAAACCAAAGATCCTATCTCAAAAAACAAAATACAAGCAAATAAACAAACAACCAACTCTAAATGAATCTCAATTATCTCAGCTGTGTGAGGAAAAAATACAATTTTACGTACTCAAGTGGCATTACCTTTAGAAAATCTCTAAAAGTATAATTGAGCATAAGATTCTTAAATTCAAGTGCCAATGAATTAAACTCCAATAATTAAAATTTTATATGGAGACCTCCCCCAAAAAACAGTTAATAAAAAAGTACAACTTGGGGCTGGAGAGATGGCTCAGCGGTTAAGAACACGACTGTTCTTGCAGAAGACCCGGGTTTGTATCCCAGCACCCACATGGCAGCTAACAACTGTCTGTAACTCCAGTTCCAGGGGATCTGATAGCCTCTTCTGTCATCCACGGGCACTGCACGACACGGGTGAACTTACCTACATGTAGGCAATACATGCATACACATAAAATAAAATAAAATTTTTAAAAAAGGTACAACTTACCACAACAACTGGCAGGATAACCATAAATGCCAATCCATAAACAAGTAAAACCTAGGATTTAAGAGTAAGTAGTTATGGTCTTTGTCAGGTAAATTACAATAATGTTCGGATTTATAGGAAAAAGGAATATCAATAGTACTCTTCAGTATTGTCTTGTTTGATTCTCTTCTCAAATGCAATAATGAAGATACTAGGGTCTCACTATGCAGCCCTGGCTGGCCTGGATCTTGCTATGTAGACTAGGCTGACCTCGAACTGGTAGAGATCTGCCTGCTTCTGCCTTCTGAGTGCTGGGATTGTACTGTAAGTATTTTTACTTTGTTGACAACTTAGCTGAAATGCACACAGATTACACAACTTGTCCTAGGTCACAGAGCTAATGGTGTTGCTATATTCAAACTCAAGATCTCTTACTTATTTTCTATTACTGATATAATATAGATAACTAACAAAACTTCTACTCAAGTACTTCCTATATTTACATCTTGCAAGTAGTGTTCTGAAAATGAGATAAGCCCTCACAAAGTAGGTCATATACCTACTAATAATGATGCCACATCATTGTTATTAACTATCATGCTGGACAGTTTCAGTTGTCAACTTGGGACACCTGGAGGAAACATCAATTGAGAAAATGCCTCCATTGGATTGGCCGTGTGGCATTTTCTTCATTGTTGAGTGACACAGGAGGGCCCAGCCCACTGTGGGCAATGCCACCTCTGGGCAGGTGGTCCTCTGTTGTATAAGAAAGCAGGATAAGGGAGCTGGAGAGATGGCTCAGCAATTAAGAGCACTTGCTGCCCTTGTAGAGGACCCAGGTTTGATTCCCAACACCCACATGGTGACTAACAACTATCAGTAATTCCAATTCCAGAGGCTCTGATGCCTTCTTCTGTCCTCTGGGGGCATTGCATGACACGGGCACACCTACTACATGCAGGCTATACACTCAAACACACAAAAATAACAATTAAAATATTTTTTTTTTAAAAGAAAAGAAAGCAGACTGAGCACAGGTCAGAGGAACAAGCCAGCAAGCAGTGTACCTCCACGGTCTGTGCTCCAGGTTGCTGCCCTGAGTCCTGCCTTGCCTTTCCTCCCCAAGTTGGTTTTGGTCAGTGTTTTATCACAGCAATACAAAGTAATGAGGACAACTGCCTGTTCAATTTTCCCCTACTACTTGATGCTAAATCTCTGCCTCCTAAGGCATATGCCACCACGCCCAGCTTTGATCCTAAATCTCTTAGGATCTTTTTCTTCTCTATTATTCCTGAGGAGTAACCCTTAGTATGATAAATACCCTTTATAGGCAGCAACTATAGACCTCTGAAGATTACCAATTTTAATGTTCTAAAATAGTCATTTGCAAAACAAATTACAGTCAGAACATGTATATTTTGCTTTTATTGCTCCTCAGGCTGTCAAGATGGCTCATCAGGTAAAGGCTCTGCTACCAAGCCTAATGACCCCAATTTGATCCCCAGGACCCACATGGTAGAAGAGAACCAACTATAGTAATCTATCCTCTGACCAATACACATGCATGGTGGCATGCACATACCTACACAAACACAGACAAATAAAAGTAATGTATTAAAGAAAAACTTTTTAAAAAGCTCCTAATTACTTTCAGTAAGAGTTGGCTAGGTTGGTAGTGCATAGCTTTAATCCCAGCAATTTTGAGGCAGATGGAGGTAGATCTCTCTGAGTTTGAGGCCAGGCACTTCTACATAGGAAGTTCCAGGCCAGCAAGGAACATAGTGAGACCCTGTCGCAAAAACAAAACAAACAAATCTCAAGTATGAATCATCTATTCTTAAACAATATAGTAAAACAATTCCTAAGATTTTAGGGTTGCAACAGCAATCACTGATGGAAGTTGGTCTGATGTCCCACTGCACCCTGGTATGGAATATATATAATTTAATTTAGCATAAAGTAGGTTAGCTTGAATAAACATGAAAAGAAGGGTAAGTTAAATCATTAATTCTCCTTAGATAAATGTGGCTACCATAAAAAGCAACAGTTCTCAAACCAAAAGGAGGACCCTAGCCAAAAATACTTTCAAAAGAAAACCTTATTTAAATGTACTCACAAGAATTGAATTTTTCTGGTCAACTATCCAAGCTGGTAAGGCAATTCCGAAGCTTGTTGCTGAAATAAAAATATCACAGTTTTCAAAGAGTCTCTACTTCTAATTTTGTTTGTATCTCAAAATTATACTTCCTCCCATTTTTAAAAAACTTTTGGGAAAGCCTGTATCATGTAGATTTCTATTACACAGGCAACTGTGAGCCTCCTGCCATGGATCCTCTGCAAGAGTAGTAATCGCTCCTAACCACTGAGCCATCTCTCCCATCTTAAAAACAGATTTTTTTAAATCTAATTTTTATTTACAAATTAGAAATGATTAATAATGACATTGGTTATTATTCTCTGAATCAAAGTTTAACTTTCAAACTAATCTTTAAAAAGAAAAATAAGGGAGGCTGGAGAGACGGCTCAACAGTTAAGAGCACTGACTACTCTTGGAGAGGACCCAGGGTTTAGTGCCCAGCACCTAGAAAGTGGCTAACAACCATCTGTAAGGTAACACCAGTTCCAGGGGATCCAATGCCCTCTTTTGACCTCCTTGGGCATTGTACAACATGGGTGCACATACACACATGCAAGCAATACACTCATACACATAATATAAAAATAACAAAATATTTTTTAAAAAAGAAAGAAAAAATAGAAAGGAGAACTAGGCATGGTGGCACACACCTTTAATCCCAGCACTCCAGAAAAAGGAGAATCTCAGAGATCAAAGTCAGTCTAGTCTGTCAAGTTCCAGGCCTGCTGGGGCTACAACTATCTCCAAAAACAAACAAGGGTGGGCGTGGTGACTCACACCTTTAATTCCAGCATGCAGAAGGCAGAGGCAGTCAGATCTCTGTGAGTTCAAGGCCAGCCTGGTTCTCAAAGCAAGTTCCAGGCCAGCTGGGACTACAGGGAGACCCTGTCTCAAAAAGACAAAAAGACAACACATGTTCTCCCTTATACATGGATCCTAACACCAAATCCTTATAAGTGAGTATGTATCCAGATAGGAACCAGGATAATGAAAAGGAACCAGGGAGGTAAAGGAAAAGAAAGAACCTGAGAGAGAAGAACAGCAGGAAACAGGTGTTACTAAGGGAGATATGGATAAAAATGGGTTTATTTAGATGGGAGGGGGGAGAGAGTGTTACACAAGGAACCTTGGGGATAAAGGGAAAGAAGGAGCTCAAGAGAGGCGGGATCATAGGAGAAGGGTATTAAGGGAGAAATGGGAAAAATGGGGGCACTTTAAATGGGGAAACCATGGTGGAAGGGTTAGACAGTGAGAGGGATAAATAATGCCTAGCTAGTTTTAAAAAGCCAGAGGGAACCATATTAGTTCAACAACCTACTGACAAATTATACATACAACTAGTTCAAGGAACAAAATATGTCTAGTCAAGGTTTATCTAAGAACATTTGGTTTTTGCCCTAGCTTCAACTACACAGGGCATGACAATTAAAAGTACAAGACTGGTGGAACTAACCTTGGATGTTTAGCAGCGACACTTTGAGGCCTATACTAATCTGGTCAGAGGGACTAAAAGGACAGTTTTTCTCCTTGCCCTCCAAGATTGACTAAGTCCAGAGACTATGGAGCATCTCTCAAAATGCCCTGTAATTGTGGTGAGTACCCTGTCCTCTTATTCAGGGAGGCCATGGAGACCCCACCAAATGGACCTGAACCAGTGTCCAGTCTACAAAGAGGAGGGTCAACTCAGAGGAGAAAATTCCTCCATGCTTGAAGTGAAGCCAACCACAGCTGAGCAGGACCTTTGACTTTTGCACTCACCAGAATTACCAGTTCATCTATCACATAGATGGAACTGGTAAAAGAAAGGAGCTAGGGGCTCCTCCCAAGCCCATGTGACCCCTGAAGAACAGATCCTCAAACAACCTTAAGAGTAAAAATAAATTGGTTTATTTGGGCCAACTATATGGTCTTAAACACCCGAAAGGAAAGTATAACTAAGGATTAAGTGATCAGTATATTTCTTTAAGAGTCCGTGTGTATAGCTAAAGGCTACGTAACAAGAAACAATGCCAGACAGGAGATACCTTGAGTTGCTGGCCAGGGTGGCCCAAGAGATTCCCAGACAGTAACCCAGCACAGAACTGGGAAAATGAACAGCAGACCCCAATCTTATCTAAAGGAATGTTGGCAACTGATTGCTGCTAGATGAGGAAGAGCTGATCTTCCTAAAACAAGGGACTCTAGATAGGATGACTAGACTCAGCGGATGGACTTACACTGGGGAATGGCTGGGGGCACTGACAACACAGTGGACAGTAACAGGGATGACAGAGTATATGGGCTCCAGTGTGTGTGGGGGGGAGCACACTATGGAAAGGTGCTATTTGGGATGCGGGTATAAAGATAATTAAGACTGTTTGGGAGACTCTGTATGAAATACACACAAAATAAATAAAGTAAACAAATTAAACAAACAAACAAATAAATAAATAAAATAAAAACAAAAACCAAAAAGACCAAAAAAAGAAAAAAAAAACCACAAAAACAAAAAACCAAACCAAAAAACAAAAAAAAAAAGTAAACCATAAAGGTAAAAATAGAACAAAAAACTCTAATTCCTTATAATTGCAATTTTCATAATACATAAACTAAGAAAACCAATATCCCTTTTAATCTAGTTAACATTTTCATAATATACAATACCACTAATATTTTATATTCACACACCTTGAGGCCCATCTGGATTTCCAAATTCTTCCCAATTTTTCCGGGACTCTTCATCTGTTAAACTACCACAAAGAAAAAAAAGGTTGCAAAATTAGAAAGTTTTATCTGAAAAATAAGTACTCACATAGAAAAACTCCATTAACCAACTTACTCACCTTTTAAACGATACTAACTCAGGGGCTGGGGAGGTGGCTGAGTCAATAAAGCACTTGCTCTGTGAATATGAGGACCAGAATTTGGATCCTCAGCATACATATGAATACTAGGCAAGCATGGTGGCCTGTTTTTAAGTAATCCTAATACCTGGGGGACAGAGACTAGCTGAATTGGGAAGCTCTGAATTCAAGCCTACATCATTAAATATGGTGGGGGGGGAGGTGTGCTGGAGAGATGGCTCAGTGGTTAAGAAAACTGGCTGCTCTTGCAGAGGGCCCAGGTTTGAATCCCAGGACCTACATGGTGACTAATAACAATCTGTAACTCTAGTTCCAGGGGATCAGATGCCCTCTTCTGTACACTTACAAACATGCAGGCAATATACTCATACACATAAAATTTTAAATAAGGTGGGGGTTTAATAAATTAAAAATAATTTAAGGGGCTGGAGAGATAGCTCAGTGGTTAAGAACACTGGTTGTTCTTGCAGAAGACCCAGATTTGAATCCCAGCACCCACATGGAGGCTAAAAACTGTCCGTAACTCTAGTTCCAGGAGATCCAACGGCCTCTTCTGTCCTCTGTGGGCGTTGAATGACATGGGTGCACTTATGTACATGCAGGCAATACACTCATATACATAAAATAAAAATAAAATATTTTTTAAAAGTAAATAAAACAATTTAATAAAAATAAATAAGGTGGGAATTTACTTAGGAAAACACCCAACATCGACCTTTGACTCATACACACACACACACACACACACACACGTACCCACACGCACACCACATACATACACACATGCCAAAAAAAGATACTAAGACTTGAAGAATCAAGAATAGTCTCTTTGAAACCAAAAAAAGGGTATGTGTGTGCATGTACATGTATGCATGTACACGTGTGAGTGCAGGAATGTTGTATTAACAGAAACTACTACAAATTCCTGGACCTTGATATAAATTCTTGGTTAGTTCATGTTTAGTCAGTTCGAATCAGACTACATTTCCTAAGAATGTAAGAAAGATGTAAAGTGATTTTTATTTACCCTTACATTCTAATACATCTAGTATATATAAAGAAGTGCAAAACTTACACACACACACACACACACACACACAAACACACACACCAAAAATCACCACCAATAGGCCAATGATCGTAACAGTTCTCAAAAGAAATGCATCAAAACCTAGGGCCAACAAGACGGCTCAGTAGGTAAAGGTGCTTGCCTTGCCACCAAACTTAATGAGGTGAGTTGGATTTCTGGAACCTACATGGTCCAAGGAGAGGACTGACTCTCAGAAGTTATCCTCTGATCTCCACACCAAGTGCTGTGGTACACTTGAGCACACACACAAAAAATGTAATAAACAAAAAAACAACAAACAAAAAGAAATCTACAAAAACCTGGTAAGAAACCCTGATGGCTGTCAAGATGGTCCAGCGGGTCAAAACTCTTACGACCAAGTTCTTAATTTACTGTAACTGTAACATCAGTTATATGACACCCTGACCTAAGGCCACAGTAAAGCCATGAAAAGCATTTGGTTGCAAATTAATAGAGTAGAACTGAGGTTTCTTTTCTAATGAACAAGTGATGTTTCTCAAAATATTTTGCCTTGGTTTTTCTATAAAATTGTCCACCAAATCTAAGGGGCTTCAGCTATTGTTCCTCTTAATATTCTGTCTTCCCTCACCCAGTAGTAATCAGCTGCCAATAGTTCCTTCAGCTAAGGTTGGGGCCTGCTGCCCATTTCACCAGTTCTACACTGGGCTTTTGTCTGAGTTTGCATAAGCCTTGTACAAACTGGCATCACTGATGACAGAGCTAATTCTTTATTTTTTCTTTGCTTTTTGTTGGTTTGGTTTGATTTGGTTTTTTGAGGCAGGGTCTCCCTGTAGCCCCAGCTGGCCTGGAACTCACTATGTTAGACAAGGCTGGCCTTGAACTCAGAGATCTGCCTATCTCTGCCTCCCCAGTGCTGGGACTGATGCGTGCATCACCACGCACAGCTTAAAAAAAAAACAAAAAAACAAAGCCAATTCTTAAAAAGAAATTGGGCCTTGTGAGATGGCTCAGCAAGTAAAAATACAGCAATTGTTCCCAAGCCTGGCAACCTGAATTCAATCTCCAGGAATCACATGGTGCACTTTTCCAAATTGTCCTCTGACCCACCACACAGGCTTACTCTCTCTCTCTCTCTCTCTCTCTCTCTCTCTCTCTCTCCACAGGCACACACACACACACACACACACACACACAAAATTTAAAGTTTTTCTTTTAACTTGGCAGACCAAACGTATATAACTGCACTTCAATAACTGCTTGGGTTAAACTGGACTCTTAGAATTTTTCATAAGATAGAGGCTTTAATTAAATCACTCAGAACGTAAGTAAAATATACACCTTTGTCTAATTTAGTTAGACTTGTACAGGTTATAAGACCTCAAAGTTGTGGGCTCTACAAGCATTTTACTTCTTTATAAGTGTGATACATCACCAACTACTCAAGATATATACAAAATAATTCTATTGCTTTATCATGTAACTGAATTAAAACTAAAAGCTTATATTATTCTCCTGCAGTTTTTAGACGAGATTTAGACGGTCAGGGTGGTATGGCTGTAGATGCCTACACTTTTTAGAAAAGTGAATGTAGAGCACAGAGTCCCAACCAGCCACCTGAGAATAACAGCATGAACTTGTCATACTACAGGAAGAATGTGGGAATGCAGCACACAAGCATTAAAATTAGAGTTACAGCCTGTGGTGGTGGCGCTCGCCTTTAATTCCAGCACCTTGGAGGCAAAGGCAGGCAGATCTCTGTGAGTTCAAGTCCAGCCTGGCTACATAGTGAGTTCCAGGCCAGCTGGGGTTGCAGGGAGACCTTGCCTCAAAAAGGGAAAAAAAAAAAAAAAAAATTTAGAGCTACTGATTAAACAATCTTGGCTACCGCTTCCTCTGGAAATCTTTAATTCTTAAATTACCTAAAGACAGAATAACAAAACAACAGCATTTGTGCAAAGAACACATGCTTGAAGGAAACACTCTGAACGAAGAAAAGGAGCCATCGATAAAAAACAGGCATCTGTGAAGACACCTGCTATGCACAAAATACAGAACCCCCTTCAAAAGCTTCTGGGTCACGAGGCTTTGTTACAGAATCCTATAGTAATTCACAGATAACCAGGAAACCACAGGGAATGTGGAGAGTAGGTACAAAGACAATTTTATTAAGCACAATCATAATAGTTCTCAAACTTGTGTCATTCATGTCACTTGCATAGCTTGCCATTATATCTATACTTTAAAAAAAATAGTTCATAATTATATCATCACTGATTCATCATACCCATAAGTTCTAAAGAATTCAGCTAATTTTTCTCTTGGAACAGAAATATCCAAGGAACTACTACTAATTTTAGATACTCTATTCTGCCTCTTAGAAAGTGTACACAAAAATGTTAGCCAGGTGTGGTGGTGCACGCCTTTAATCCCAGCAGTCAGGAGGCAGAGGCAGGCAGATCTCTGTGAGTTCAAGGCCAGTCTACATAGTGAGTTCCAGGACAGCTGGGGCTACAGGAAGACCCTGTCTCAGAAAGACCAAAAAAAAAACCAAAAAAAAAATGTTACTCAAGTCAGGCTATTTGTAACTCTAGCACTCAGGAGGCTAAAGAAGGAAAATCATGAGTTCAAGGCCAGTCTGAGCTACATACTTAAAAGCAGGGATGGGGGTAGTAGTTGGAGAGAGAGTTCAGGAGTGAAGAACACTTGCTCCTCTTCCAAAAGACCCAAGTTCAGTTTCCAGCACCTACATCAGGTAGTTCACAGCTCCCTATAACTCCAGCTCCTCGGAATCGGATGCCATCTCCTAGCGACCTTGGGCACCTACACAGGTGGCATATATATTCAGACACAAAAATAAGTAATAAACCTTTTCTTTAAAAAGTTCTGAGCTACTTGTAGTGATGTAGGCCTTCAATCCCAACATTTGAGAAGCAGAAGCAGGCTTATCTCTGAGTTCAAAGCTGGCCTGGGCTACACAGTGAGACCCTGTCTCAAAATAAAGAAAAAAGCTAGTTGTGGTGATGAAGGCCTTCAATCCCAACATTTGAGAAACAGAAGCAAGCTTATCTCTATGAGTTCAAAGCTGGCCTGGGCTACACAGTGAGAACCTGTCTCAAGAAAGAAAAAATTTTAAAGGTTCTTAAAGATTATAAACGTACAAATGTCCATGCACAAGCTGGTCATGGTGGCTCACACCTTTAATCCCGGCACTTGGGAGGCGGAGGCAGGCACATCTCTATGAGATCAAGTCCAGCCTGGACTACATAACAAGTCTTAGGTCAGCTGGGACTACAGCTAGGTCTACCTTGTCTCATAGAACATCAAAAATGTCCTCGCAAGTATATGTAATACAGCTTCTTCTCCCATGGCTGGGACTCAAAATTGGGGCCTTGTAAGCACCTGGCAAGCACTTTACTGAGCTACACTCCCAGGCAGTAACAATATACCTCACTTATGTTTACATCGAGGCCAACAGTAAAATAATAACGTGCAAGTTCTAAGATTTTTAAAGAAAAAAGGTTCTAAGCAATTAAAAAGGAGACCTTAAAAATTCACATCCCAGAGGGGAAAGATGGCTGAGGGAGTGAAGGCCCTTGTTCCCAAGTCTGACCATCTGAGTTCATACCACAAGATCCAGATGGTGGAAGGAGAAAGTTGAACTCTGACCTCCAGGCTCACAAAGTGACACTCAAATACCCACATAATAAATAAAATAAAAAAGATTAAAAAATAAATATAAAACCCGTATCTCAACTAGTATCTAACAATAAGGTAACCAGAAATAACCTATTATAATGAAATTCTGGAAAGGCACCAAAAATTAAATTAGCACTAAAAGTAAATATTAAATATTAATCTTGCCATTAAGTAGTTCAAATGAGACAAGTACATTGGTAAAACAGGAGAAACAGAAGTAGTTTAACAATAAGCTCAAAATGATATTAGATATAAATATACTTTTTTCTATTCAAGATGCTTAGAAGATAGGTCAACTAAGCTTAGTAATAGTTACTACTTAGTTAAACGGAGTTCACTTAGCAAAAGCACTACCCTAAGTGCCAACTCTAAATCAGTTAAGGATTAATTAGATTACCACTTCAGGGCTGCTGAGTAGGTCAGAATTTAATAAAAGTATATGACACTAATTTTACTGAAACCGGAAAATTACCTTTACAGCTGTCTTTAAAATGTGTGAGGGGGTGGGGGAGAGGCTAAAGAGATGTCTCAGCAGTTAAAAGCACTTACTGTTCTTCCAGAGGACCTGGTTTCAATTCCCAGTACCGACATGGCATCTGTCACTAGGAATGCATGTGATACACTCAAATACATACAGGCAAAACACTCACATACATAAAGATAAATAAAATCTTTTTAAAAACATGTAAGGGTTGAGTACAGGACCCACATCAGCTCAATGAAACAAGGGCCCAAAGGGAGGTAAAAAAAAGAGGTGGCAGGCCAGCACTAGATTGAGAACTATTAGAGACTGATTGCTGCTAAGGGAGAATATGACTTATACACAACCCCTGGATGGGCTGACTAGACTCCAGCAGACCCATCTACACTGAAGGACACTTGAGTACAAACACCTGAATGAATAGGACTCAACATGTATGACAGAGAGCATAGGGTTCAGTGGGGGGATGGGGGAGGCATGGATGGGGGGGTTCTGGATTTGAGAGGGAAATGTATAAAATTTAAAAAGCTCAATTAAAAAAAATGTGTAAGGGGGGGTGGTCAGTCATAGTGACACCACCTTTAATCTCAGCACTCAGACAGGTGGATTCTTGTGTTCCAGGAGAGCCAGGGCTACATAGTGAAACCCTGTCTCAAAAACAACAACAAAAAGGTGCAAGTGATACTTACGCTGCATAAGCTTTGGCTATCCTCATGAACATCACTTCATCGCCTCCTTTATCTGGATGATATTTAAGTGACAGCAAACGATATTGTTTCTTAATTTCTGCTACTGTTGCTCCCTAAAAGGAGAAACTGTGTTAATAAAAGCACTATAAAGAAATAACTCATTCTATTCTGGTTTAACCATGAACTACTCAATAGTCTGACAAAAGAAAATGGTACTTCCTCCTATATATTATGTCCCCTAAATTTCATCTCTCGTATATACTTTTGTTCAATTTTTTGTTGTTGTTGTTTTTTAAAGACAGGGTCTCCCTGTAGCCACAGCTGGTCTGGAAGTGGACATTATACACCAGACTAACCTCAATCTCTCAGAGGTCCACCTGCTTCTGTTGCGATTAAAAGCGTGTATCACCAAACCTGGCTCCAATATATTTATTTTTAATCAAGCACTTACTATTTACCATGCAATACATATACTGGTCACAGATGATATGAGGGTGAAACCAGATAAGGCCACATTTAGATAAAAATATTTTGACTTTAAGTATCCAAAAGTGATCAAGAGTAAACTAATAGTTCAAAAATCCCTCAAATCAAAGTCTAGCTTCCTCTATAAGCTGAGCAATATTGTTTCACTGCTTATCAATATTTTAATATTAAGTAAATATTTAAAAACTATCTTTGCTTAGACATTAGTCTTACATTCTACAATAATTTTTGGATCATTTTTATTGCCCTAAATCTTTTTATCTTACACTCTTTGTGACAATGATCATTACAATAAGAAAAATGAGATAAGAGACTGGAGAGATAGCTCTAAGTTAAAAGCTTGTAGTGCTCTAGCAGAGGATTCAAGTTTCCTTCCCAGTACCCACATCAGGCAACTCACGACTGCCTGTAAGTACAGCTCTAGGGAAATTCAACACCCTCTTCCAGCCTCTGCAGACACTGAACTCTGTGTGTACAAATCTACACTCAACACACACACAAAAACACATAATTAAAAATAAAAAATGTCAAAGTATTACAAAAAGAAAAGTCAGATATATGTGAACATTTCTTCTACAAAGCAGAAAACTAGATGAGCATGCTTCTTAATTTGTATTACATGAATTTTTGAATTAAACCATCCATTGCAACCAACCAACCAACCAACCAACCAACCAACCAACCAACCACTAGAGTTTGGCTACTAAAGTTGTTACAGGACCACAGACAAGACATAAATTTTCCAGGCCTCATTCTCTGTATGTGAAAATTTTCCAGATCATTTCTACCACTAATTTCAGTTCTAACATTCTAATGATATGCCCAAAGACTAATATTCTGTGGGGGCTTATCAGCCAAGTTCAATCACCAAAGCTTAAATTGAGTTTCTTTTTCTTTGAGACAGTGTCTCCCTGTAGCCCCAGCTGGCCTGGAACTCGCTATATAGACCAGGCTGGCCTTGATCTCACAGAGACTGCCTGTCTCTGCCTCCTGAATGCTGGGATTAAAGGCATGCAAAACCACACCTGGCAATTTAAGTTGAATTTCTATGATAATGACACCAGTTCCTTACAAGAGCCTTCAACTCAAACTTAAGAACATAAGATTTTGTGTGTGTGTGTGTGTGTGTGTGTATGTGTCTTTTTGAGACAGGGTCTCGCTGTAGCCTCAGCTGTCCTGGAACTCACTATGTAGACCAGGCTGGCCTCAAACTCACAAAGATCCACCTGCCTCTGCCTCCCAAGTGCTGGGATTAAAGGTGTGCACCACCATGCCCAGCTAGAACATAAGATTTTTATCATTCCACTAGCATAAATAACCTCCTAGTTTTATTTTTAACTTTGCATAAACCAGTCATATGGAAATATTTTTAAAATATGCTCACTAACTTCTCATCTTCAAAGAGTCTTACGTTTTCCCAATTACAAATTCTTTTTGGTTTTTTTTTGGGGGGGGGCTTTTTGAGACAGGGTCTCCTTGTAGCCCCAGGTGGCCTGGAACTTGCTATGTAGATCAAGCTGGCCTTCAACTCACAGAGATCCACCTGCCTCTGCCTCCTCAGTACTGGGACTAAAGCTGTGCACCACCATGCCTGGCCTTACAAATCAATTCTTTATAGTGGCAATCAATAGAACAAATGTTAAGAGTGATAATGACTCGGATCTTCTTTTAATAAAAAAGTTAACTGAGGGGCTGGAGAAAGGGCTCAGTGGTTAAGAACACTGGCTGCTCTTATGGAGGACCTGAGTTTGATTCTGAGCACCCACATAGTGACTAACAATCATCTCTAACTCCAGTTCCAGGGGATCTGACGCCCTGTTCTGACCTTCTCAGTCAATGCATGACATGGGTGCACCTATCTACATGCAAGCAATATAACTCACAGAGTAAAAATAAAAAAATATTTTTAACTTATGTTCACTTTGGCAGCACATATACTAAAATTGGAACGATAGAGATTAGCATGGCCCCTGCGCAAGGTATGACACGAATTCGTGAAGTGTTCCATATTAATATGTATATATTATGTATATTATATATATATTATATATATTATGTATGTATGTATGTATGTATGTGTGTATTTTTTTTAAAGTTAACTGACCAAGTCTTGATTTCTTTTGGCATGACTCAATTTGTTTTAGAGTATGGACCTTTAGTATTTTCATAAGACCATTAAACTACAAATTATCATACAAAAATACTACTTACAGGATCCAAATTTAATACTTCATAAGGATTGTATTCTTGATATTCTCGGTCTGTTTTGGAAACTTTGTAGGCAAGAAATAAGAATAATGCCCAGCCTGCAAGCAGAACTATTTTCCTGTTTAAGAAAAAGACAAATGACATATAAGTAAATATGTTTGAATGGTTTTCTCTAAGAGTTGCAAGATCAAGGCATAACAAAATCTAAAGCAGTTCCCTATTACTATGCTTCTGATTCAAAGTATACAAATGCTGACTTTTAAACCCTATTACAGCAAGGATATATCTTCCTCACCTTTGAATTCTCCTGAACCTAGTACAGTGTTCTCCCATGTAATAGATGTTTGTATTACTATATGCAGAATTTCAAGAATAGAAACTAATACGACTCATTAAATTAGATCAAAACACATAAAAATTAAGTGGTCAAGAAACCATTTAAGGGGGCATAAGAAATAGCTCAGTGGTTAAGAGCACTGGCTGCTCTTGCAGAAGACCTAGGTTCAGTTCCCAGTGCCGACAGGGGGAATAGCAAATGTCTGTAACTCCAGTTCCAGGGGATTCAACACACTCTTCTGACCTCTGCAGGTATTGCACACATGTGGTACACTTACGTACATGAAGGCAAAACACTCATACACATGAGTAATGGTCAAACGTACAAAGATGAGTAAAAGGCCTTTGTCTGCCTGTCTGTCTGTCTGTCAGTGGGTGGGTTGGTTGGTTGGTACAGGGTCTCACTGTGTAACCCTGGCTGGCCTGGAACTCATTCTGCAGACAGGCTAACCTCAAACACTGCCTGCCACCACACCCAGGTCATAAATAGCCTTCTTTATACTAATAAAGCTTTGGAAACATCCTAATGTCTATCAGTAGTAAGTAATTTAAAGGTGACCAATTAAATACTACATTAAAAAGTGGTGGCACATGCCTTTAATCCCAGCACTCGGGAGGCAGAGGCAAGCGGATCTCTGTGAGTTCAAGGCCAGCCTGGTCTACATAGTGAGTTCCAGGACAGCTGGGGCTACAGGGAGACCCTGTCTCAAAAAGACCAAAAAGAAAAAAGAAGTACATTTGAACATATAAAAAAGAACTGATTTCTTCTCTCGCCAATATGTTTTGTTTATTAAATCAGTTAAAAGATTGGTACTACCAAAGTGGAAAGAATAATAAAATTTTCATATACTATACACTCACTGGTTTTAAAAACAGCAAAGAAAAATGTCCACGTGTTTAAATGCTTAGATTTTTTTTCACAGCACTAGGATCAAACCTAGGCCTTTGTCCATGCTAAGCAAGTACTTCATTGCTGAGCTGCACCCTTAGCCTGCGTTTCTGCTGTTCGACTGTATGACCACACCCCCAAAAAAGCCAACAACCAAAAATGCATCCCCAGACCTCAGCATTTATACCTCATTCACAAGTCTTCTCTGTCTCAGGCCAGAGTTATGAGTCCTTTTTTTGCTCTTTCATAGCACATCATCTCCTGCCCTTATGGCTATGGTTTGGATGTGGTTTGTCTCCTCACACTGTTAAGATTTGGTGGAACCAGGACTTAGGAGAGGGCTCACTGGACAAAGCACTTGCCAAACAAGCCTGAGAACCAGTTCAGATCCTTGGTACTCACAAAAGAGCTAGGCAGACATGATGGTCCCCACCTATAATCCTAACGGAAGTATTCAAGAGGCAGAGACATGATCCTCAAGGCAAACTGGCTAGCTAGACTAGCTGAATGGGCAAGCTTGGGGTTTAGCAAGAGCTCTGTATGCTGGTTAGTTTTAAATGTCAACCTGCCACAGCCTACAAGCATCTAAGAAGAGAGCCTCAACTGAGGGACTGCCTAAATCAGACTGATCTATGGGCATGTATGTGGGGGAATGTTCTGATTTGTTAATTGATGTGGAAGACCAAGCCCATTATGAGCAGCACCATTTCCTGAACAAAAGGTCCCGAGCTATGAGACAGATGAAAACTAACTACCATGAAGTAGCATGAGTACATTCATTTCTCTCTTCTCTTAGCTGTGGCTGCTTAAGTTACTCCCTTGATTTCCCACAATAATGAACTGCAAACTGGAACTGTAAACCCTTCCTCTCCTAAGTAGCTATTGCTCAGGATGTTTTAATGAAGTAACAGAAAAAAAACATAACACCCTGCCTCAGCAAATAAAGTAGAGAGTAATCAGGGAAGACACCCCATGTCAACTTCTGCTCTCCATATATACACACATGTACACACATGTGTACACACACACACTAACCCACTCGAAGCAAATGAACACTAACATACACATGCATACCACACATACAAAAAAGATGTGGGGAGGCACTGGGGAGGCAGAAGGGGGTGGATCTCTCTGAGACCCAGGACAGCCTGACAGTAAATTCCAAGTCAGCCAGGGTTACACAGTGAGACCTTGTTTTAAAAAAAAAAGATATGGTGGATCTTTTAAGAGGTAAGGTCTAGGAGTCCAGTGTGGTGGCGCATGCCTTTAATCCCAACACTCCAGAGGGGTATCTCTGTGAGATTGAGGCCAGCCTGGTCTACAAGGAGACCCTGTCTCAAAAAGACCAAAAAACAAAACAAAACTAAACTAAACAAAATAAAACAGAGGTAAAGTCTAGGGTGCTTAAGAGACATCTCAGTGGTTAAGAATTCAATTAAGAATTCAGTTTCCAGGACTGGATAGATGGCACAGTGATTAAGAGCACTGACTGGTCTTGCAGAGGACCCAGGATTAATTCCTGGCACCCACATGGCAGCTAAAAACCTTCTGTAACTCCAATTCCAGGGGATCTGATGCCCTCTTCTGGCCTCCAAGGGCACTGTACAACATAGGCACACACAAAAATATAGGCAATAGACTCATACACACATAAAATAAAAAATAAATGGTTAAGAGGTTAAGAGCAGTGACTTTTCTTGGAGCAGAACTGAGTTCAGTTCCCAGTATCTACATGGTAGCTAACAACCATCTTAACTCTAGTTCCAGGGGACCCAATACCCTCTGCTAGCCTCTGCAGGGATTGCATGGACATGGAGCAATTATACGTGTAGCAAGCAAAACACATACATATATATAAAATAAAAACTAATTTTTTTTTGGTCTTTTTGAAATAGGATCTCCTTGTAGCCCCAGCTGGCCTTCCACTCACAGAGATTCACCTGCCCCTGCCTTCCAAGTGCTAGGATTAAAGGCACGCATCACCATGCCCGGCCTAAATTCTTTTTTTTTTTTTAAAAGAGTTCAGTTTCTAGCATCCATGTTAGGCAGTTCTCAACTGCCTATAACCCCCAGGAGAGCCAACATCTTCTTCTGAACTCCACTGCACCTCCACTAACACCTGCACATTCTCCCCCTACACCCTCGCACACAAAATCAAATAAATAAATAAATAGTTTAAAGAGGTGAGACATAGTAAATGGTGGTTAGGTCATGGGGATACCGCCCTTAGCAGACAGAAATCAGTGCTACTCTCCTCAACTTACAACAAGGCAGACCCCTGAACTTCTCTCTACTTTCCTGTCTTACAGTGTGACTGCTTTCTCACATATCCTCCCACCATCATGCCATCCACCAAGTTATGAAGATGTTCCTTGTGTCTTTACCAGAAACATATGGGGAAAGCTGATCTTGGACAATCAGTCTCTAAAGATAACATAAGCTAAATATGCCACATCTTTTTAAACCAAGTACCCAAACAGGTATTCTGTTATGCAACAAAAAATGAACATATAAATATAAATATAATATAATATAATATAATGAACATATATAAATATATATATGATAGAATGTGTGAATTGCAAAAGAGCCAGAAGCCTCATTAGGGAAAGCCATAAATCCCTTAAAGTGTCTAACTGGCCCTAAATTGGCAGCCTGGCCTTGTTCAAGCATGGCTCTGCTTGGCTCAGTTGGTCACTCCCAAGCCTGAGAGAAGAGTGTTTGTGGAGCCACCTGTCTCCTCTAGGGCCACAGATAACACTCCTGCCAATTTCTGGGGAAATAATCTTGGGGAGACCCTCAATCACTCCAAGGGCACCAAGCTTGGGCACTAACTCAACTCCCTACTAAGTGCAGCTGTGTCCCACAACCCTGGCATACCGCCCCCCTTTCCTTTGTCTAGTTGTAGAAGCTTGGTTCCCATGGACAGCCTCTACCTCTCACTGTATCTTCTTTGTATAAAGGAAGGTCTATTCCTTGCCTGTTGTGGGTCTGGCTCTGTTTTCTTGTCTCCTTTGTTTCTATCTTTCCTTTTATTTTCCAAAAATCTAACGAGAGAGAGAGAGAGAGAGAGAGAGAGAGAGAGAGAGAGAGAGAGAGAGAATATATGTAATTTTTTTTTTTTTTTGTCTTTTTGAGACAGTCTCCCTGTAGCTACAATTGGCCTGGATTCACCATGGAGACCAGGCTGGCCTCAAACTCAGAGATCCCTGCTTCTATCTCCTCAGTGCTGGGATTAAATGCATGTGCCACCATGACCAGCCAAGAACTAATATATTTATTAAACCTATTGTGGTTACCTGCTTATTTGTCAGTATCTCCTAAGGTTCAAGTCTGAAACCATATTTATTTTGCCAATCACAGTATACCTGACATATGGTAGGCCCACAACAATTGTAAGTTAAATGAATAAAAAATATTTGAGATAGCAAATTCTAAACTTAAAACCAAGGTTTGTTAATACTCTCAATAATCTAAAGAACATTTGAAAATATTATTCCCACACAAATCAGTAACTCTCCACGTTGACCAAATTTTACTCAAATCTAACAAACTTCATAAAACAAAGAAAAAATGAACATAAAAGCAAACATAAGGAAAAAACAAAACAATTCGGATACAATAAATTGTTAGATATTTTACACTTGACATCTGATCTCAGAGTCAAGAAAAAATGAAAAGAGGCTAATGACACAATGTCCTGGGATGGTAAAAACTACTCCAGCCAATAAAACCATGCTCCACTTCCAGATAGCCAACAAGGGAACACACTGACTGTACCACACTACATGTGCAACTTTTAAAAATATTTGGTTCCTCCAAAAAAGATAAATATTTTCCTTCAGGTAGATTCAGTAATTAACTTATGAAAGCTTCCTTTTTTTAATTCTAAGTACCTTTAACGTAACTCGAAAGCAAATTCTAGAAATTACATGCCTTCATTTCAGGAATACTACCAAAAAAGAAGCATTACACAGTAAAAAATAGTAAAAAAGGTTCTGTGATTTCTAACCTTATGAAAATTGTTACCAGATCTATCTCACTGTTCTTTGATCTTAATTTTCAGTTAAAGAAGTAGTTTACTAATTACTAAGTTTTAACTTTGAAAACTTAGGTTCAGGGCTGGCAAGATGGCTCAATGGGTAAAGCACCTGTTGCCCAAGTCTGAAGATTTGAGTTCAATGCTCAGAATCTTCCTCAAGGTGGAAGGAAAAAACGATTCCACAAACTTAGCCTTTGACCTCCACATGCATGCCATAACACACAGACCATACAGACATACCATATGCACACAAAATTATTAAAAAAAAAACTGAGGTTCAAATGCCTAAAATACTGAGCAAAATCTGACAAAAAGAAAAAAAGAAGATAAGAAACAAAAGTGAACAGAGAGCTACTCTTGTCAACACAAATTTTGCATTTAGGCTTTCATTACTGAGTACCACCACCACCAAAGCTAAGATTTCCCTCTATGCAAAACCAATCCTTAAAATCAAAACAATCAATACAGTTATGTTTAAAATTATCATAATTTAGCCCACACCTTTGATTCCAGCACTCGGGAGGTAGAGGCAGGCAGATCTCTGTGATTGAGGGCAGCCTGGTCTACCAAGTTCAGGCCAGCCCAAGCTACACGGAGACCTTGTCTCAAAAAGACCAAACAAACAAACAACAACAACAACAAAAAAAAAAACTACCATCATTGGAGGGTTAGAGAGGTGGCTCAGTGGTTGAGAGCACTGGCTGCTCTTACAAAGGACCTGCCTGGGTTTGATTCCCAGCACCCACATGGTGGCTAATAGCCACCTACACCTCTAGTTCCAGGAGATCCAGACACCCTCTTCTGACTTCCCCAGGCACTGTACAATGTGGGTACACTTAACATACACACAGACAATACATTCATACACATAAAATAAAAAAATAAAAATAAACTATCATCATTTAAATCAAGATTTAAAATAACTGATTGTACTCTTAATAATTTCCTCAGATTTTTCTCTTCTTCCTATTATGGAGAAGAGATGTGGGAAATTCACAAGGTGCTGTTCTGTAAAAACGACAACTTTCACTTCCTGCCATAGTTTAATCTAGCGGCTTTAAGTTCAGAACTCGAAGTAAAGGCCAGTATAAAGCACACCCTTTAGCTTCACAGCATCAAACAGGCCTCCTCTAATTAAACACGTTAGTGTTTTGCCTAGGCAGATGAGCCTGCCAAAATTAAAGGCGATGAGATCCCTGCTCCAACACTAATAGCTACATGACGTTGGTCAAATCATCTCACCTTAGCCTCGGCTTGAGAAAAAAAGGAAACATTTACCATGAAGTTAATACGGAATTAAATGAACATATAAAGCACCTGGCAACTCAGTATGTGCTCAGTAAACAGAAGTTATCATCATGAAGTGCCAACTTGACCAGTTTCGCCTGGCAGTTTTTGAATTCTTTAAAAGATTTCCCTATAGACTCCAACATAAAACTTAACTTTTAGGACATGGTATACCAGGTCTTTACAGAAGATAAAGAGGGGATTTACCTCCCCTCTTTTTGATCTCTACTCTGTTTAGAGCTTAAAGACTTAATTATACCTCACCTCTATCACAGGCTACAATTTTACAACCACACATTTCACCATCATCAGATCCCTAAGTCTTATACCTAGCAAAGAGTTAAGCACTAAGTGTGTGTTGTTATTGCAATAGATTACTTACTTTACTGTAGGAATAATATTTGGCTGGGGTTTTAGCAACCGTAAACGATACCACATACATCTTCCATATACTTTTCTGATATTCTTTAATCGAATTTGCTCTGTCAAGAAAGAAAAGTGAGGTGAGTTAATAAGCCATTTTTCATGGTAAGACTGGAACCACACTTAATTCTGTACAAACCTGCATTACCGTTTTATTGAAACATGAAAATGCTGCCTATTCAAATAATCTCTATAAAAATTTATAAAATATGCTAAGTTGTCTGTCACTTAAAACAAATATTCCTGGAAAAGTTTATCAAGTAAGTATTGTTCACCTGAAGAGTCTCTAAAAATTGAGAAACAGTGGGAGCTGGAGAGATACTGCAGCGGTTAAGAACACTGACTGTTCTTGCAGAAGAGCCGGGTTCAAATCCCAGTACCCACATGGCAGCTAACAACTGCCATAACTCCAATTCCAGGGGATCCGACAGTCTCTTCTGTTTTCCACATGCAATGCAGGACACGGGTGGACTTACCTACATGCAGGCAATACATGCATACACATAAAATAAAAATAATATTTTTTTAAAAATTTAGAAATGGATTTGAACCTAAAATATTTGGTCATATATCTGAGAAAGTCTCTTTAAAATAATGGAAATACGATTTATTAAAGAAGCTAAGGAGAAATGATATTCTTCAAACATCAACATTAACTGCCTATCAAGATATATTCTAATCAAAAAATTTTATCTATATAAGTTTTATCTATTTAAGATGTGAAACCAATACAACCTGGAGTTTCAACATGAAACAATAGTAAACAGTAAAATTCTGTATCCCGGCACTACTATCCACAGGCCTCTTGGGGTAAGTCTATAGCGCAGCTCTCCGCGCCAGGACTCCCTAAGCCACATTCACCCTTCCATACCCACCCCCAGCTGTTCTATACTCCTAGTTTGGGCCCTGCGCCATTCCTAGTCTTGGGTCCCCAGACACCTGGGGAACCAGTACTGCTTCCTGACCCCTTTCATCCAAACCAACTTAGTGCCTTCTCGGGGCCCCAGGAGCACTGCTTCTGGACCTAGCCCCGCCCTCAACTCCCCCTGCTTCCCTGGGCCTGCACCACCTGCCATCCTCTTTCTGGGACTTGGGAGCTGACCTTTTCTCTTCCTGACCCTTTGCATCCAGACCAACCCAGCTCCTCAGTGCAGTCCCCAGGAGTCCTTGGAGCCTCTTCCTGCCCCATCTGCCTTTGCATCTCTGGGTGGTAAGTCCACCAGCTGCCCTAGACCAGCATCTCCTGGGCCAGGCTCCCAGGCCAGTCCAACCCCAAAATTTCTGAGGCCAACATCATTCCTGGAGGGATCCAGACCTTAGGAGAAAGCCTGAAAACATCTGACCCTCACCTGAATTGGGCCTCTGTGGGAAGTCATGAAGACAAAAGCAATCGGCCACTCCAATATAAAATCAAAAGAGAGAACTGGAAGCTTAGATGAACCAGCATTTCATGTGCAAAAAGCAAACCACAGAGGCACATAAAGTTTACAAAAAGAAGCAGACCTAAACTTGAAAGCTTGAGACTCACACAAGAATCAGAAACTACAAAAGAAATTCACATGTCAAAATCACAGAGAAAGAATAATAACATGAAAAACCAAAATAACATATCCCACCAAACACCAACTGTCCTCTAGAGGAGTATAATGAGAA